TAATTCAATTTCAATCACACACATCAACGATACTGTGTGAACGGCACGTGGCATTCGCCGTTCATCCATACTGCGCGAAGGGCGCAACGCCCAAATCACAGTCCAAACTTCCCCAGTAACAATATGCTACATCTTAGCATAACAATAGGCGCAAAGCCTTAAGCAGCTCACTGTTTAGCTTTGGCTCAGTGTCTTTGCCAAGTCATCGCCTTTGACTGTTTCATTTGCACTTTATTAAATATGCAAACGAGTGTTTTCGCTTAAGCGATCGGTTTCGTCTTCGCGGTGTCATCGTTGCTCGTCTGCGCCAACGCTACTGTCACCAGCGAAGCGTTGTCAAAATACAGATAGATAAGTTTTGTGAGTTTTGGCAACGATACTCGAGCTTAATTTAAATAGATTTCTGTGGTTTTAAGCGCATACATTCATTGACAGGTGTATAAATTTGAATGAAATTTACCTTAGACGTAAGGCACTGTAGAAGTGAAGCGCAGATTAGCATAGTTATTTGAAGCTAACTTGGATCTGTCCTAACAGAGATAAGCAAAAAATACCATGCTTAATATGTAAAAATATATTTTCTACCACATATAAAAGTCAATATGTACATATATATATTTCGGGGCATTGGAACAGTTTAAACATCAAGTTTGAAGTATATGCTCTGTGGTTTTACTTTAATGAAAGGGATTTGGATCATCCTCATTAATGCATTGACGACATGGCATCTTGACATCCAATATACTTTACTGGTTTGTGTGGTATTATTGTATCTAAATATGGGCGGTATTATTGTAACATTAATATTCTATTGTGCCAATCTTACTTTGCACCAATATACTGCTGTGATCAAATTGAAAGGTGAATTTTTATTTATTTTATCGGTAAATAATTACTCGTATTTGTAAGTTGGTAGTACTGTTAGTGACATCTCTGCTAATTCACGTCAAAATATTCATTAGTATTTGAAATATGCCTCGTTTTGTGAGGTTCTAAAAGTGAATTCTTCGCTTTTTACAAGGTCTGAACTTATGGAACAAAGAAGTGCGGTAATGCACCATCTCTTACTGCATTGGTTATTCCTGATCATTTCGCCACATTTTCAACTAATATCGTACCGCCACCAATGCATTCGCCCGATTTACCTTCGTGTAACTTCTGGCTATTCAGCAAATTCACGTGACTACTAGGAGGACACCGTTTTGACTCAATTGAGGATATAAAAGCTGAATCAGAGCCTTAGAGTATTTTTCCAAGTGTATTGCAGCGGGAGGAGATTACTTTGAAGGAGATGAAATGGACAAATTCACCTTTCATTTTGATCACAGCAGTACAAACATTCCTTTTTACTCTTATCGATTGAAGTATGTTCTTATTAGTAACTAGGAGGAAGTATGTTCCGGCGCTACTGATCATTAAAGAAGACAATATTGTTTTCTACATTTATTACAAATGAATTTAGTAATGGCTATTATCGAAACTTCAACTCGTTAAGCGGCAGCCAGGCCCATAGCTAGACCTTTAAAATAATTCATATGTGAGTATAACACACAGAGCTTAATAAAAATTAAAAACTCTATTTTAAGATTTAAACTTAATCAAATCCAATTATATATAAATTAAATTTTCATAAAAAAATAACCCCCATTAGAGTTAAGCTCAAGTAGAACAATTTGAGAGTGTAAGAGGTATTTTTTTAAAGAATCCTTATACAATATATATTTAAATCGGTTTATTTTCATTTATTCAAGAATTAAAAACATTACTGTCCGACAGACAGAGCGCATTTAACAGTATGTAGAAATATATGATACTTTCAGCAGGGTTTAACGGATTGGAATGTAAGGTAGGTCATCTCCGTGTGGTGCCTCGTGGGTAACTGTAAGTGACCTTGCGGTCTTCACAAACCAAAGAAACCACCCAATCGGCTTGACTATGATTTCATGGCTGAAACGGTCCGTTAAAACCAGGTCACCCTTAAAATGATATGGTCGGTTTAGGTCTGAACGCATTGATCCATAATTGTGTCCGTCAACCCTCGCTTTGGCTTCTTAAGAAATAACCTTGATAGATTGGTAATAGCTCTGAATTCCCGTTTGGGGCAATGTCTGCGGCGACAAAATAATCCTTCACGAAAGTCAGCGGAAAAAGCGTCGTTATCCCCAGCCAAGAATGGTAAACCAGTGAGCAGATGTCAGCTGACGGTAAATGTAGGTAAGGCTGTGGGACGATGCGGAATGGGAGGTTCGGGTGCTTCAGGTAACTTTAAAAGTCCAAATAAAAAGCAGGTAATGGCAAAAAAAAAAAAGTTAAAGTCGGACCGCCGCATATCAGCAAAGAGAAAATCACGCTGCGGTCGCACGCAGACTCTTCAGAAGTCTGAATGGGATATAGCAGTGCTCTTGAGTAGGCCAAGAGGTTGCCTAGCGGCGACGAGGATGGCAATGGCAGCGTTTTCGAGTAATCTACCTACTCTGGCGGAGGAACGTCGGGACGTGAAGGTAAATACCACTGTAAGGAGTAGCTCATATATAAACGCTAACCTCCCCGGGAAAGGATGAAGATCCTCTGATCACAGGTATATTAGTTTTAACGTGGACAGAATAGGTCCGAATACTGAACTCTATAGCACAAAAAATTCTTCAATCAACTCTTGTTGAAGGGAAGCTTGAAAGAAAGCCGCTTTGGTGAATGGATCAGAACTGATTTTAAAGCAGAGAACTGTTCCCTACGACTCGTAGAGGGAGTACAGGAAGAATATTCTTCTCTATGATAGCAGACTGGCTTTTAGTTCAAAGCTCGACAAAGAACTTCAGTAACAATAGCATCAACCTTCTTCAGTATTAGACCTGTTCAGGAGCGCGATCACAGCGAAATCGTCAAAAACTGCAAAGCCGATGAGCTGACAAGGTCCTAATTTCACCCGATTGAAATCAATTCCATACCCCGTTGTCGTTTTGGTTTCGACCTATGTATGTATCTACCGAGACTTCTGCAAGCTTCTGGTCAACAACTAGACACTTCCAAGAACCAAACAAACAATTGAACTGGAATTTTCCCACTATGATCTATTTTTATATTCTTGCAACCAGTAGTTACAGTTTAACTACTAATCAAGATAGATATAGGTTTAACGATGAAAATTGAAATCCGGTTGACGGTCTGTCCGTCCGTCTTGAAAGCTGTAACTTGAGTAAAAAATGAGATATCTCGTTGAAACTTGGTTTACAAATTCCTTTGTACCGAAAAAATTCGAGTTCGTAGATAGACCTAATCGGACCACTGGCACACCCACAAATCGCCTTTAACCGAAAACACATAAAATGTCGTAACTAACCACTAAACTAAGATATAAAACTTTGATTTTGAAAAAGAGGCATCTGTGGACAAAACTTTTTGAAAAAGAGGGCGTAGCTCCGTCCTCTAACAAGTGTAACGTACATATGTACATCCTAAGCAACTTAAGCTACAACAACCAAATTTGCTGATTACGAATTCTACCGACACTGTGCAAATGGATGAGATCGGAGGTAACCATGCTCACGCCCCATATAACGGCTCTGTTAAAAACTACAACAAGCGCGATAAATAAATAACTAAATATGCCAGAGACATAAAATTTTACTAACGAGATGATATTAGAGAGCCCTATGGGAGACAGTGTGAAAATTGGATGATGGGCGTGGCACCGTCCACTTTTTGGTGAAATCCCATATCTAGGGACTCGTCCAACCAATTTCGACAAAATTTAGTACGTGGCACTGCCCTTACTACCCAATATCACAGTGTGAAAATAAGCAAAATCAGATAACAACCACGCCCACATTCCATATAGCACAATTTTAAATATCACTTGATTCGTTCAGTTTACAGTACATAAATCAAGAAGCATTTAAAATAACGGGATAAAACTTTGCACGAATATTGTCTTTAGTGTGTGCCACCATATATTCAATTTTTTTTTTAAATCCAATAAAAACTGTTCAAGTCCTAGGTACCGAATATATAAATATATCAATAACATATATTTTCCTTCGCCTTCATAGAATCTTTCGGGGTCAATAAAAAAAGCTAATCATTAATATATACATTTTTCCAAATATTTCCACACCCCCATACGACCTTCGCAGTTCAAAAATCAACAATACAATAATACAAATTAAAAACGAAAATAACAATAAGGTGAAGTATTAAAAAAAAAATGCCCACAGCTTTAATTTTCTCGCGCCCAATATATACAAGAGCTTTCCGAAATATTAGCTTCACACATGAACATAATGACTCAGAGCTCGTATCAATGGCGCAACATGCTTGTAATCACGTCAATCTATAGACCGCCTCAACTAAGGGTGCTTGCAAAGGTCAACAGCGGTTGTGAGTACCAAGGCATGCGGTCAGATTTCGAGTTGAGAGTTGAAGCAACTCCAGTCGTAAAGAATTTTCCTGCAGCCGTTGCAGTTGCGATGGGCTCGTATGAGCTTAATATTCATAACCCATCTTATTTCATACACTTGTTTGTATTTATAAGCACACATTTGTGTGGGAAATTCATTTGTTTCGTTCAATTCATTGTTATGAGTACTTCATTCTAAGTGCACTGGACCAGTGAACGTTTTTGCGCCTTATTCATTGTTTTTATGCGTAATTGGACTTGTGCTCATGTTGCCATCACCATGGGAAACCCTTTTACCACTGCGTTTCTAAAGATTCATTTCAGTATTATTTCCGTTGAGAGTTGAAATAAATCCAATTTTTTTTTTTGTTTAAAGGAGTTCCATACGTTCTGTGCATTCTTTTGAAAAAAATAATTTGTAAATGTTCAACCCTACACACGGCGTTTAATTGAATGCTACTCTGTACTTCATTTTACTGTGTACACACACTCATACTATACGTTATACTATATATGTATCTATATAATGTTTCTGATATGATTTGTAATTCTTTGTTTGCCTATTTTTCTACAAATATTATTTGTTAATTATCATAATTGTGCTTACCTAAACGTTTCGATATTTCGGAGTTATGCATTTTCGGATTATCCTGTGCAATTTTTCGTCGCTGGAGTCGAGACCAAACCATGAATGCGTTCATTGGTCTTTTGATGTGTTCCTCGTTTTGACGTTTCGTTGTATTTTGTATCATTAAACTAAAGAAGACGTCGCTGCAAAAGTAAGAGGTGAAAAAGTTACAAGCAAAGTTTTTAAAATACCGTATATGGATGAATATGCTATGGGAAGAGAGGCGAGGTGGAGAAAATAAGTGCTTTGCTGAACTTCACTTAACCCGAAAATGTACTAGGTTTTATCCCTATTTAAACTAACAGCATACATATCGAATTTTCTTCAATAATTGTCGCCCCTTTGCAGATATGGGTAAGACTCTAGACTTTTAAAGTATAACAGCGCTGAACTCAATTAAAAAAATTTTTAAGAGGGGGAATCGACACGTGTATTAATGTGTACAATAATTAGAATATGTTTTATGATAAATTCTAAGAACAGATCACATGCAGAGAAATGGTATAATATATCATAGAACCCGTCTTACTCAGATAGTTACAAAATCTAGAAAAATAGTGGCCCAAGAACCACCGAAATTTCAGAACCACATATCGTTACCTGAAATGCAAAATAACTTAGCAACATTTTCGGAAATTCGCAGTGGCACAAAACACAAAAAAAACTGATTTATATCTGACCGCAGAACCTGAAAATGTTGAACATATGTATGTATGTATTTTGAAGTAGGGAAGCGTAATCAATAAGACACTCAATTTCGAATTTTTGATGATACGTTATTTTGCATTTCAGGTGCCGATATGTTCTTAAAGTACCTAAGCGCCTAGGTCAGTCTAGAGCCCGAAAAAAAAATGTAACTTTGACGATTTATTCTGCAAAGATATAGACCCGTCATACCAGATAATAACCAAAATAATGGTGCCGCAAGCATACCGAAATTTTGAGAACAATATTTGCTCTTAAAATACTTTAGCTGTTAGGCCAGTCTAAATCCAGAAAAAAACAAGTAAGAAAGGCTGAGATATGGTTTTTGGTCCATAAGTGGGCGACGCCAAAATTTAGTGTTTCTGACGTTTTTTGTTAGTCGGTTTTACTTTAAGTGATTTTCAACATAACCTTTGTATGGGAGGTGGGTGTGGTTATTATCCGATTTCGTCCATTTTTTCTATGTGGAAATGCCTGAATGAAAGAACTCTGTAGAGTTTGGTTGACATAGCTATAGTAGTTTCCGATATATGTATAAAAAACTGAATAGGGGGCGGGGCCAAATTTCGTTTAAATATACCCCTCTGTAATGCGAACCTTTGTGGCAAACTTCATTTTAATATCTTTATTTATGGCTTAGTTATGACATTTTATAGGTTTTCGGTTTCCGCCATTTTGTGGGCATGGCAGTGGCCTATTTTGCCCATCTTCGAACTTAACCTTCTTATGGAGCCAAGAAATACGTGTACCAAGTTTCATCATGATATCTCAATTTTTTACTCAAGTTACAGCTTGCACGAACGGACGGATGGACGGACAGACAGACATCCGGATTTCAACTCTACTCGCCACCCTGATCACTTTGGTATATATAACCCTATATCTGACTCTTTTAGTTTTAGGACTTACAAACAACCGTTATGTGAACAATACTATAACACTCTCCTTAGCAACTTTGTTGCTAGAGTATGAAAAAAAATACGAAACTTTGACAAGTTATTTTAGGAGTAAAGAAAATCAAATAGAGTTTCTTTTGTTTTTTTTTTGGCTGACTGGTCAATGCTCCCCTCTCTCTTTACTTCATGTGACAAAGCGCACGTCCTCAATTTCAGAGTGGTGCCCAAAACACTCGCTTAAGATGGGGAAAATCCTAATTATTGCACATCGTCAAATATCAAGAGAAATCGAATTTGTGTATATGTATCTGTGATCTGTGTGCAAGTGAATAGACATTTGTAGATTTACACATAAGTACCTATATATACAAATGCATGTGGATGGCGTAATTACCTGGCGCTGCTGCCACTATTCATCAGGCCACCCATGTTTTGATGTAGATTTGTCATCGGCGAAGTCGCCTGCGCATTGTGGTGCAGGTGTGCAGCGGCGGCGGCCATTACAGATGCGGTACTGGCTGAATTCGTTGCGTTAGCGGGTGACGAAACGGCGGTTACGTGCGCGTTTAAGTGACTGTGCGCGTGATGGTGGGTGGTATGGTGCAGCGAATTTTGATGCTGACTATGCAACGCTGCTGAGCTGTGGTGTTGCAGCTGATGTGCGGACGAACTTGAAACTCCTACAGAACCACCACCTGAGCTCACTGAGCTGCCTGATCCCGCTGAACCAGCCGACGACGAAGCTGAGGCTGACTGATGAAGTAAAAGCGACGCGGCTGACGATGCGGAGTGGTTATTGCTGCTGCTGCTGTGTGGGTGGTGTGACAACGAAGTTGGAGAGGTGTGAATGCCCGAGTGTGACGCCAATAGTGAGGTGTGATGATGGTGCAGCGATGCAGACGCTGAGTTGCTAGATGTTGGTGAGTGGCTTGTCGAGGACGCCGAATTCAATGATAGCTGGTGATGGCTTAGATGATGATTGTTGTGATGTGCTTGTAGATGGGCTTGTTGGTGATGATGCTGTTGTTGTTGCTGCTGTTGCTGTTGCAACTGTTGTTGTTGCTGTTGATGAACAACCGCGGCTAATTGACCCAAATGGTGATGATGATGATGGTGCTGGTGATGGTGCCCACCTGTACTAGTTGACGATGTGACCGCCGATGCGGAATTAAGATGGTTTTGCAGTTGCTGTCCTGTTGTGGATAACGAGAGTGGATGCGCGAGCGATATGCCTGATAGCGATAATGATGGGATGCGATCCATCATTTTGTGCAGATCCACTGGGAATATTTGTTTGTTGGCGTGGCTATGGTTGTGGGAGTGGTGGTGTGTGGAAGAATATGTCCTTGTTGGAGTGACGGAGTAATGGTGTTGTGTTTGGTGGCAAGAGCTAAAGGCAAATGGAGGCTGTAAAGACAAAATTGGGATGATTTATAACTCCGTGACCATACTTTAATATGAAATACAATATGTAATGTTCACAATTAATTAATTCTAATATTAATTTAATATTACGAATAGGAATACGGGTTCGTACTTTCCGTTCGTTTTGTTATATACAACTAAGTATATATTGATTATTGAATATATTTACCTATAATATATAATATTGCGGTAATGACTTTAAATGCCTCAATTCGGTGGATTAATTTTATAAACAATTGAGATATTACTGCGGAATAGTATCGACTTGTAGTTTAACTAAAGTTGAAGATGAGTTCTTAGAAGAATTATGTGACCAATACCCCGTTATTTCCCGGACTGGCTGATTTGAGTCGCGCTAAATACTGCGAGTAAAGATGTGGCGACTCGAAAACACCTCAACTGTTATAAGGAAGGACAAACGGGTTTTATGTTTTTGTATAAATAAGTACATATTTGTTGGTTGGGTGTGGTACAAATCGAAATCAATTCATTTCAATTTAAATATAATAAATATAATAAATAATAAGTACCTCCCAAAAGCAAGGTTTAAATGAAAGTACTATTAAGGGCAAAAAATAGTAAGACTTTTAATTTAAATAAATATAAGAGAGTGTACAAATACATTTACGATTGTCAAATATCCCTTCCGCTTTTTTGCTCTATATTCAATTCGATAATCCTTGACAACTTCATAATACCCCCCTCGTGGAAGCCCCCCCCCCCCTTCTTATTTGAGGTAATCACATTTGCGCTATATCCGGGCTATATGGTGGATGCGATAAAATCTCCCATCAGTGTGGTGGAACACTGCTCCCTTCCTGTTGGCCAATTCTGGACGCTTCCGGTCGATCGCCTGCTTCAAGCGCTCCAGTTGTTCGCAGTAGATGGGAGCAGCTCATAGTGCATGATTCCCTTCCAATCCCCTGGGCACTGGTTGGGACGATTCACCGGCCTTCAACCACGACCGTTTTCGCTTGATATTGTTGTATGTGATTCATTTTTCGTTGCCAGTCACCATCCGCTTCAAAAATTCCGTTTCAGCAGCATATCGCAGGCGTTGATTCGGTCCAGGAGGATTTTTCGCGTCAAATCATGCGGCAGCCAAACATCAAGTTTTTTTGTGTATCCAGCCTGCTGCATATGGTTTAAAATTTTTTGGTGACTAACTCCCATTTTTTGGGCGATGTCACGAGATGCTACATGCCGGTCTAACTCGATATTTTCCATGATTTGATCGGTATTCGTCGTCACAGGTCTTTCGCCGGCTGGCTTACATGGTATCGTTTTCCCCCGCTCTGAATTGTAGAATCTTTTTCTCCGCAGTTCGAAGTGATGGAGTACCATCCCCCAAAACACCATTAATCTCACGGAAAGTTTCTTTAGCGGATTTGACTTTAACGAAGGATGGCGCGAATTACGGCGTCAGTGAACTCTATGTTCACACGTCTATAACTGTTGAACGCAATATCCAAACTAATCGTGCATAGCGTCGTTTTGTAGGTTATGTGAAGACCTTGAAAAATCCAAAAGACAAAAAGGCGGAAGGGAGACATTTGGTAATCTAATATGTATAAATGTGTATGGGAAACACCGTTGGGTCCAACGGAAAGTAGTCGAAGCAAATCTTCAACCAAAAGACAAAACATTCGAATCCAAAGTAATTTGTTTGCGCAGGCAAGTGAAAGAGAAGAACTCAATATATGTGGGTATATATATATAATCACGTAGATATGTACATATACATATCTATGCAGACTATTGTATATACATACAAATGGTACTTAGATATATAATATATAACGCATACGATCATTGATGCCATTTAATAATTGCACCAGCAAATCGGAATGCCAGAAACAGTTTTAACGCAAATTTGGTTTAGTGTATCGTACATATGTCGCAACCATATGTCCGACAACCGCATTTTCATATAAACTTAAGAGTACATGAGTAATATGCTAAGTACCGTTTGTATGGGGGTGCTATTTACCGGGGGATGTTTTCACTGACGACGCATTAATACCTTATAAACTTCTACATAACCACAAAGTGAAAATGGTACAAACAAAAAAAAAAAAAAAAAAAATTGCTATGTAAAAAAAGTAAATAATATAAGGGACAGTTTGACGAAATAAAAGGATTGGGTTGTGAAATTCGCCGGCATGCGCTGTGGTCCGCCCGGCTTAGTGTTTTATGGTAAGTGCCTTTACGCCTAATGAATTTCCCATTGTTCACAAAGAAATACTTCACTTCAACGCAGTCAACGTGCACAACGAGCGTCTGCCGAGGAGTGGTGGACTTTATCACATACCGCACAGTGGTTATAGAAACGTTCATGATACAAATAATGATCAAATATTTAACACGTTTAGCTGTTACTATAAACAATAACCTTTTTATACTCTCGCAACAAAGTTGCTAAAGAGAGTATTATAGCTGTCTCTTATACACATCTAGATGGATCACTTTGGTATATATAACCCTATATCTGACTCTTTTAGTTTTAGGACTTACAAACAACCGTTATGTGAACAA